CCCCGCGTGCCAGGTGAACGGGGTGCGTCGGCGCTCTGGGAATGGAAGATGCTGCCCAGAGACTCCCCTGGGACCTCCCTGCGCTCTGGGAATGGAAGATGCTGCCCAGAGACTCCCCTGGGACCTCCCTCCCTGCCCCTTGTGTCTGGTGCCCACTAAGACGCCCCAGGGCAACGCCGGCCAGAGAAGCTGTGGAAACGTCGGGTGCGATGAACGCCGTGCTGGGGCGCGTTGGGGCTATTGCGCGTCGCCCCCGGGAAGCCAAAACAGGCCTATCCTCCAGAGATACTTGTCTGGGTTAGGTGCAAGCCTCCCCGGAAGGGATGCTTATTCCTGTAATGGCACATGCAGCTTTTTAAGTGCTTTCAGAGCCTCCCTCCGCCTCCTCGCAGTGACCCAGCCCAGCCCATGGGCCCAGGGCGGCCCCAGCCCAAGCCGCTGCACGTTCCTGCACCACCCAGGGCAGGGAGACGATTCCTGCACCACCCAGGGCAGGGAGACGACTATTCAGCTGAACCGGAGCGAGGGGAAGCACCTTGCAGGGCGTGTGGAGGTGCCGCGGAAGGACACGCCAAGCCTTGGCCCCGCCGTGCTCCCTTTTTGCCGCCACCGGGCTGCAAACCTTGAGACGTGCGGGAAGGAAGCTCCACATGCTCCAAACTGCGGTTTCCACCTCTGCTTGTCTCCTGCAGCTTCCTCAGCAGCTAGATGAAGCCTGCAGGCATCTGCCTTGGCGTTACACGATAGCTAAAAACAAAGCAGCCCCTCCAGCTCCTGTGATACAAACACATGCAACTACAGGCACGTCACTATGTCCAAATTGCTTTCCTGGCTGCTCTTAATTAGAGAATACCTAACCGTAATTCTATCTGCTCCACAAATGCAGGGGCACTGGGTCCCCAAAATACCTTGTGTTGAAAGGCGAGTCACGTGCAATGCCTCTGCGGATGCGATGAAATATAAGTGAGCACTTCCATCCTCTTCCCAACTGCAGCTCTGAGCGCAGAGACAGGAGAAGATCATGGCCTGCTCCATGGAAAATGCAGGCGTTTTTGATGCTGGGTGTAACAACTGTACAAGCAGCTACAAGCTTGAGTAGATGTTAGACCAACATGCACAAGCCTGGGAGAAAAGGAACCTCTTCCAGACATTTTATGAAGGCCTCAAAGCCCAGCATGGGGGCACAGTAGAGCCTGACTCCTGGCCTGTTACTGTCTCCCGTGGCCCCATGCCCAGGTAGGTGCTTACCTGCATGTTCAGAGCAAGGAAACACAACCCAGAGCGCAGAGAGGAGCACGCTGGCACGACACGTCTGCTCGCTGCAGCACGGGGACGTCAACGACGGCTGGTCCCGTTGAGCCCGTCTCCAGGATCCGAGTGAGCAGAGGCTGCTTCTCTCACAGCGTTTCTGCAAGGACACAGGCAAATCTAAGCGCGGTGAAATGATCCAAGATTTGCCTGCTTTAGGCCAGGTTTATTCACTATCACGAGTTACAGCAGCAGTGGGAGGCGAGCTCAGTGTGCCCATGCTCTGCTGTGCTGCTTAGAAGAAAGTTTGCAAACCCAACTGCTTGCATCCTGCATTTAGATTCGGCCAGCACACGGGAACAAAACACGGAGCCAGCTTTTCAGCAGGCACGGCCGCTCACTTAGGATTTGGGTTAACAGTTGCATAGAATTCAATTAAATTCACCATGCCTCACTGTACATACACCACTGCTGTCTTTAGAAACTTTTATATCATGTAAAACTATTGCCCCGAATGCTTTTAGCATCAAATGCAGATTCCCAGGCTGATCTTGCAGCATTTTTAAGGTAATAGCTGACAAGCGCTCGCAAACCTTAGACAAAATGGCTACTGTGTTTGAGCTCTGCCCACAGAAGACATTGAAGTAAACTCCTGGATTATTTTATACCCTGACTGCTTTAAGGCTCTGTCATGAAACACTACACTCAGTTCCAGCATCTCTTTCGCAATGCCCAAGACAAGAGCTTGCAGCTGCCAGGTCCTTGCAGGCAGATGCAGAGCCCCCTTTGGTCTTCTGGTGGCACTTGGGTGATGGCTTCCCCAGCTAGCTGGTTCCACTAGCTGGTGGCACCTACCTGGTTCCCCTAGATGGTGGCACCTACCTCTGCGGGCTACGTGAAAGGGCTGGGCTCCATCTTCAGTCGGAGGCTGCTCTGAATCCACCCAGATGCTGCTCACTGCCACCTCCGCTCCCTCTCCTGGGGCACCTCCTCATTTCACAGCTCCCCCAGCATTACAAGAGAGCCAGAGGAGGGAGATGGGGAGCACACTCCACTGCTGCTGGCTCCGACAACTCCCACGCTTAAGCAGGCATTGGCAATTTGGGAAAAAAAAGAACAACCCAAAGCCAACAACAACAACAAAAAGTAGAAACCAAAAAACAAACCCACACTAATGTCATTCTGAGGATTCTTTATTCTTTAACAGCCTCATCTTTTCAGTCGTTTCCCGAAAGTTTGTGGATGAAACCAGGGATCTGCTGCTTACAAATCACCTTGTAGAAGTGAATAAATGCCTGAAGTCAATGCCACGTCCGCTGGCCGTCTCCCTGTTAATGTTCATAGCTGAAAAGCGGCCAGGAGACAAGCAAATGGTGTCACTGAAAGGCAGAGACGTGAGCAGCAACGTGAGCAGCATGAGCACGGTGCAAAGTGGCTGCAGCTCCGAGCAGAAGGCTGGGGTTGCTAGCACACTGCCCGCCTGACCTTCGCCCAGGGGTTCTTCTTCATCCCCTGGGCTTCCTTCACGTCGCTCCACTCCAGCTTGGTGTCTGGGACCTCATCTTCGGGCTCGGGGTCTTCGCGCACGGCCCCCTCGGGCGATGCCACAACGATGGGCAGGGGGCCACACTCCTCCCGAAACTCCACGACGTGGAGGTTCTTCTGGTTGGCCAACTGCTGGTGGGTCTTCTGCGGGGGAACGGGAGGAGCAGGAGAAAGAGGGAACATGATCAGCAGGAGAAGGAGGAAACACATCAGCAGAAGTCTCAGGCTAACAAATATCACAGGAAAGGCTGGTTTGCTTTCCACTTCAGACTGATTCCTGTTTAAATCATGCCTGGATAACATTAACCTGAGGAGCAATGATGCAACATGTTGGTCTACTTGAAGTGAAGCTTTATATGGTGTATAGGCTAGACAAAAAATAAGTAATTTATGAATAAGTAGTTGCAACACTGCATAAACTCGAGGCACATTCTTGAGGATATAACTAATAGCAGAGGCAGCAGCAATTCAGCTGGCACACTGCTGAATTTCCAGCACTAAAACATCACCCTAGAGGAACTCGTTTCTGGAAGGGTTCTGGCTAGAAAAAGTGCATCCTGCCAATAAATGCGAGTGGTGGCATGTTAATAACCTGTAGCACCAAAGCATAACACTGTGCTGTCAGTCTGAGGAGGAGGAACACTGATAATCCTGCACTCTCAACAACAAACCAAAGGAGAATAGCACATCCTTTTTCACACATACCTGGTTGCTCCTGGAGAGAGATGTGACCTGCTGAATGCTTCCCAGCACTAAATTATACTTGTCATTAATCTGTTTTATATCTTCATGTTAATACAATTTTTGCTTTGAAAACACCTGTGTTGCTGCCTTGACAGGTAACTGTAGCTAATATGAACATATTAACTCAGCATTATTTGCAGTTGCATGCTATTCCCATATAGGGGTTGGTTGGTTAAGGCTCAGATTCCACAGAATGCTGACTGGGACCAGAAAACTTTTCCCTTTTAGGGCAAGCAAGAAGACCATGTTAAGTGCACACCTTTAAGAGCAATGATCTATATAGCAGGCCCTTCTCCCACTTCTTCTGTGGACGACTTCTCAGAGCCAACGCTTCCAAAATGTCACGAGGGACTTCCTCAGCTCCGAATATCCATGGACACTGCAGAGAGCCTGCAAGCATCTCGGTGGGCAGGGAGGACTGCGACCACCCGCTCTCTCAAGGCTGAACAGGACGATAGATTTGGCAACGAGAGCCTTGCAAGGGGGCCTGGCCACGTTTAAATATTGGCAAAGTAAATGGTGACCCCTCGGCAGATGCCAAGACTGCGGCCTAATGAAATAACCAAAATTTGCAAAGGACTGGTTCATCCTAAGGCTGGTGTTCAAACTAAGCCAGATGAAATGCTGCATGTTGGAGAGCTCTGTTAGCTACGGGTAACTGGCTCAGAGCACCTGCCCTGCAAGTGCTTTGTGCTAGAGGACACGACGTCCCCTCTGTGATGTGTTTCAGGGACCCTGGTTACTCTAGCAATAGAAGTGCTGCAGTGCTTGGTGCTTCAGCAATGAGAACCTCATACACAAACAAACAAGCAGCACGAGCCAAAGCAGGGCCACCGTTTCCTCTGCCCTGGGCTTTTTAACATGTCACCACAAATACCACAAGGGAAAGCCCAGGATCCCTTTGGAGGCACTTGGCTGGGCATGAAGAGCTACATTCTGCTCCTTTGGGACAACTTCCGACAGCTCCTGAGGAGGAGATGTAGGAGGAGGAAACAGTCATGGACGGATTTTGTTTGTTCTTGGAAATTTTTCTTTACTTTAAGACTTGAGTTTAAACTGTGGTTGACCACAGATTATTATGGCATCAATCATAGCCTGCCCCCTGATCTGAGAAATAGGACTGCTGAATATGCAGTTTACCTGTTCGGTTAGGCCTTTAAAGAGAGCTCTCGTGATGTTGATCAAGTTTTTGGAACCAGAAACCCTGGCATACATGTCTTTAATGCCAATTAGTTTGCAGATGGTGATGATAGCTCGGTGGCAATGAAGTCCATAGCCTGTAGAAAAAAATAAATTGTGTGTGTAAACATATAGCTTAGTTAAGGAAAAAGTACCTAAGACCTCTTCTTAACCATCTTTGTTAGCTATTATGTTAGAATGTATTAATATGTCTTGGAAACTATGACTTGGTGTAAATGTACCATTTTCCCAAGTTTTAACCGCTTTTATGCTAACATAAAAATCATTCTTTCTATACTAAATATTTCCTACTTAGAATATTGCAAAATCAAGCAGAACATGTCACCACCTGTACACTCAAAACAAAGAAACATTAAGAGATGCAAACCCCAGGTCAGGGCAGAGTTTCTCAGTGGAGCCAATGGCACCTGCAGGTGCATGTGCAGCTCCCTCCCCAGGTAACATTCATGAAACACAAGGCAATTTTCTTCTTCCACCGAGGAGACAAATCAAAACCCAGCGTTGTCCAAAACTAACAACCAGCAGAGTAGCAAAACAAGCCACTTCAGCATATTAAAATGAATTTTTTAGAAGGAGAGAGGATCTAAGAGCGAGTGGATCCTGGTGTTCGGGGATGAGCTGCTCACTAGGGTTACAAGACTGTCTCTTCCGAAGAGCAACTTCCATAGTTTGTGACCTGCTTTCCCTGCCATTTCAGTCACTCAACTGCTGAGCAGCAGCTCCAGTAAACCCTGATGGCAATCTGACTCTCAAACCCTGCTTTAGACGTGTAAATTGGTCTCCTCCTGTGCTCAAAGCCAACGGCAGCCTTGAAGCGATGCTGTCCTCGATGCTGTCCTCAGGCACCCTGCTCCATCAGGGGCCACTGGCCTCTTCCTACAGCCCAAGGCTGTGCTCAGGACCCCTGTCACACGGCTGCAGGTGTTGGGAAGGCTCCGGGAAACAGGAATGTCCAACGCTGGGCAGGCGAGTGCAGGGGGTTGCAGAGGTACCTACGTGCAGCGACGGCGCTTCCTTCCTTTGGCTCCAAAATGGGCCAGTTTTGCTCCCTTGCTCCCGGGGGAGACTGGTTTCATGCCCCTTAGCTCTATCAGCCTTTAGAAAGGGGCTTTGTGATAATTCTGATGTGTTTTACTCACAAGCAGCAAAGACAGCTTTACAGATTAGCCCATTCTGCAGGACAGGCTTGTTGCTGAGTAAATGAAGAAAAAATAATGTATTTCAGAGCTGCATGCTTTACTGTGCCAGTATTTTCCTTATTCTTCTAACCTGTAACTGGTAAACAAACGACAACCCTCCAAAGACATTTATTCTGGCATTTGAGAAAAATATTGTTTTCTATACTATGAGACAGGATCAAGCTTTAGACACAATCACATGTGAACGATCTCAGAGAGGCTCTTTGTCAAAGTTTCATTTCCAGGGCCTCAAAGCATCTCATTTCTGGCCTTTTGCATCTTTGCTGTTCTCCCATTTCAATACCATCAACTTCTGCAGATTTTGAATACACGAAACTCATCAGCCAGCAAGTTGGTCAAGCAGTCACCGACCAAAATTTATTCCCAATGCAAAAGCAAAGGATTCAGAGTGCAAACTCTAACCGTGCACAGTCGTGCTCATTTTTAACTTGCTTAAGGCACTTGTGCTGCATTACTGCAATTTAAGCCAATGAGGCCTATAAAAAACAACAGAAACATCTGAACACTACTGAAGTTTCTTGCACTGAAAATAGATGCAGGTAACTAAGAGAAGATACGTGCTGCCCCATCATTACAGCTCTGAGCACAGGGTGCTGCACATACAGGGATGTTTTTTTTAATCTCAGACAACAGCAAACCTGCTTCAAGAAATGGAGTTCTCATTCCATCAGCTAAACAGAAGGGGAAATATTCATTAGGTGGAAATGGGGTTTCTGTTTTTTGGAGGACCCTTGCACATATACATGTATGAATACGTTCTGTAACTGAAAATGCTGGCAGGATACTCAGATGGTGCTAAGCACTGGCCCATGCTGGCAGCTAGGGAGGACATAGGAAGACCCAAAGGACAGGTGTATATATATATATATATATGTGTTTCAATAATATAGCTTTCAAATAAAAAAAAGGGGGGAGGAATTTGTGAGCAGTACAGAGCAGTCAGCTTCAATTCAATGCTCAGGCAGGCACAGAACATGCTGTCATCAATGAGGCTTTGGGTGCTTGGAGTCCTGCCCAAAGACACTCCATGTGTGTCTACCTTAGTCCTAAGGTGCTAACGTGATGGAACTGATTTCATATTTGGACAGAATTCTGCAGGATTTGCTCACAAAACAAACGAGGGAAATAATGACCGTGCAAAATCATCATTAAAGCACATGTCCCCATTAGGAGCAGCCTGCTGCTGCCGAGAGCGTTTTTCATACAAAATCCTGCTGAGAATCTGCTCTGGCTTCAGCTGCTGCTAATACCTTCATTAACAACTTGGACAGAGAAAGAGAGACTGGAAAAGAATGGGTGGAGGATATTAACTCAGGGAAGGTCCTGGGAGCGAGGAGGGGAGGTCAACACGGGCCTGGAAAACGGGAGACACAGCCTGAAATGAGAACGATGGATGACATTTAACAAAAATAAGTGCACAGGGCTGTGCTGGGAATCAGGAGCACAAATAGAAAAACGGGAAACGCTGACTGAACAGCAACAGAAAAAGGATCTAGGGGTGGAGCAAAACCAAAACAGAAATGGGCAGAACAATGCTGCAGCACATGCAAATCCTAGAACAAAATGCACTCTAAATATATTTTTCCACGCCATAGCAATCGGCGGTCAACCGAAAGCAACCTTTCTTGTTTAACAGGAAGAGCATCACTGATGTGCACTTCAGTTGTGCTGCTTCTGTTCTTTGTTCGTCTTTATTATATTGAATCCTAAATTGAAGCTTGTTAAAACTGGTTAACTTAAAAATTACAGGCCAAATTATTTAATTTTGTGATCTTGAGGGGTCATTAAATGCAGAACTGCAGAAACCCAAACGAGAAGACAACGTGGCTTGATGCCTGCTGCTTTGAGAAGATTTTTCTAAGCCCACGCTATCACTTTCCTGTCACACTGATTTACAAAAAAAGCCCTTATCTCAGAACAAAAATAATGTCATCTAGTAAAAACCGTGTTGAAGATTCATAGCAATTTTGGATGCTTGCAAAATATATATTCAAAACTCTGCACATTAATAATTATCTTCTCATATGATTAATGTGACAGTGCAGAAGGAGAATATTAGCTACACAAAATCAAACATCATGCCCAAAGTGCCAATGCTTCAGCTTAGTCAAAGGTTGTAGAAACTGATGAAATAATTAAGTAACTGAACACAATGGCAGTTATTGCTGAAGAATCATCCCAAGTTTGTGACTCATTATGAGCTAATCGCTGAATGCTCTTGCAGTTCAGGTCTTGCCATAAGCTAAAGTGACTTACAGAGGGGCAGGCACGCAGCTGGTTTTATTTCCTGGTTGCATATTTGCAGGACAATGAGGACACCGAGCTGCAATTAAAGCTGTTTTCTGTGAAACGGTCTCTACTTGCATCTGTTCCAAAAGCAAAGCACTGTTTAGCGAGCTGAGTCACAGGATCGTTAAGGTTGGAAGGGATCAAACCTTTGCACGTGTTTGTCTAATTCAAAATCTCATGCAAAGGAATTACCTCGCATCATCACTTAAGCTCTTTAAAACAGAAGCTGCCTAGAAGATAAATGGAACCACTCCTCACCTGAAAGGCACTAGAAGCAAGCTAACCTTTAACTGCAAAAGCTACTTCATAGATAAGAGCTTTTATGGTGCAACCCCGAAGAGCATGACGCCAGGTTGCAAGGTTGCTGTGAACGTCAGCAGCTGCAGAGCACAGACTGGAACAGCTCTGAAGATGAGGAAGGGGTAGCAGAAAAGGAGCACTGCATTCCCCGAGTCCTTGGAAGGTCCCTGCTTGAGCAGAGGCTGGTGGAGAGACAACGCACGCATAACTGAGTGGCAGTGTCTGCAGGACTCTCACCAAACGGTGAGGTGAGAGCTGTCATGGTCCTCCCTCGATTTCCTGCCCAATACACAGCAAAGCTTCCCCAAATAAATCTATACAGCTGCGGCCCTGGGTCCTCTTCTCTTGAGCGGGAGCCCAGGCAATGACAGGAGCCTGTGCTTGGGCAGGTACCCGTTCCTCATCTCTACAGACTATAAATCCCATGAGGTGCATCACTGGGGAAGGAATGAGACATTCCCTTATTTACCAGGAGAAAACAGACGACCATCTGAGCATTTGCTGGGTCTTGCTGGGATGTCTAATCAGTAAATTGTCCAGGGATCAGATCAATGAGCTGAGGGCAACCTGTTGTGGACTCGGAAATACTTTTATCTAACAGACAGGAGTCTAAAGCAGCATCTACAAATGGGGTCGAAGTGGAGGAGAACATCTTGCAAAGACAGAGTGATGAAACCTGCTGCTGTGCAGCAGCAAGACAGTCTGCAAACTGGTCTGGTGCAGGGCAAGAAGACACCGTGGAGAAGTTCTGTGGAGAGTGCCCTGGTTTCCAGCTGGGAGCTCCTGCTGGGCTTTTATCTTAGGGGAAATGAAGCAGTTTTGATGGAGTGGCAGGCTGGATGCTGTCCTCATTCCAGCTCATGGCCACGGGTAGTGTGAGCCAGTCGAGGGAAGATTGCTGCCCATTCTGCCCCAGCACAGTGTTTGGAGAAATGGGCCCGTCAGCAGGGCTGATGTGGCTACTCAAAAGGCATCGATCTGAGGCACTTGCACTCAGATTCACATCTGAAGCACTCCCAGTGCTGCAGACAAAAATATCTCTGAACCTTGTCTTGAAAACAGTGGTTAAAATGGTGAAAAATAATGGAAAGAATGTATCAGTTCTCCACAACATGCGTGGGCTTTATGGTGGGAACAAATATCCGCACGATACTTCTAAAGGCATTTGCCTCCAATTCCACTATGAGAAGGAGATTAAACTTCTCTGTGTTTTAGAGCAGGAGGAGCTACATTTCTGGAAACCTGAGAGAGAAAAGAGAAAAGAGAAAAAAGAGAAAAGAGAAAAAAGAGAAAAGAGAAAAAAGAGAAAAGAGAAAAAAGAGAAAAGAGAAAAAAGAGAAAAGAGAAAAAAGAGAAAAGAGAAAAAAGAGAAAAGAGAAAAAAGAGAAAAGAGAAAAAAGAGAAAAGAGAAAAAAGAGAAAAGAGAAAAAAGAGAAAAGAGAAAAAAGAGAAAAGAGAAAAAAGAGAAAAGAGAAAAAAGAGAAAAGAGAAAAAAGAGAAAAGAGAAAAAAGAGAAAAGAGAAAAAAGAGAAAAGAGAAAAAAGAGAAAAGAGAAAAAAGAGAAAAGAGAAAAAAGAGAAAAGAGAAAAAAGAGAAAAGAGAAAAAAGAGAAAAGAGAAAAAAGAGAAAAGAGAAAAAAGAGAAAAGAGAAAAAAGAGAAAAGAGAAAAAAGAGAAAAGAGAAAAAAGAGAAAAGAGAAAAAAGAGAAAAGAGAAAAAAGAGAAAAGAGAAAAAAGAGTGCACTCAGATTCACATCTGAAGCACTTCCAGTGCTGCAGACAAAAATATCTCTGAACCTTGTCTTGAAAACAGTGATTAAAATGATGAAAAATAATGGAAAGAATATATCAGTTCTCCATAACATGTGTGCGGTATATGGTGGGAACAAAAGTCCGCACGATACTTCTAAAGGCATTTGCCTCCAATTCCACTATGAGAAGGAGATTAAACTTCTCTGTGTTTTAGAGCAGGAGGAGCTACATTTCTGGAAACCTGAGAGAGAAAAGAGAAAAGAGAAAAAAGAGAAAAAACCCCCCCAAAACACATGGGAGACATGGACTGGGAGCCGAAGAGAAGGGGAAGCAGCAGAGGTTAAAGAAAACTGAATTTGTGGAAAGGGAGAAACCCTGAGATATAAAAACAAAGTCAACTACAGCAAGAATTTCTAATGAAAAACAACAGGTCATCTTCAACAAGGCACAGTAGACCATAATCGAATGATACCTCTCTGAAGTAAATGAACATTGTACAAAATTACCTTCCTCAAGTAAATAATAGGCAGCAATTAATAAAACTTCAAAATTTCCAGGCAGCTTTTAGTTACCTTTATTTTGCTTCTTCATGCGGATGGTTGTCCTTTTAAATCTCACATTAATGTCATGATAAACTGGAAGGAAAAAGGAAAAAAAAGAAGAATTAGAGCATAACTGTTCTCGGAGAAAAGCTTTGAGCTAGCATGTGTAAGGAGTGCACTTCTTCAGAAATCTGCACGGGAAACTAGTTTCCTCTGTTTCAAGGACTTCATTAAAGAGAAGGGTCAATCCAGGTAAAGTTCTGCAGTAGATTAAGGCTATTTACACACCTGTGACTATTACTTTAGTGTTTGCTAAACATAATCCAGATTCACATTGAAAATCTGAAGCATGCATTTAATCATTCTTATTTTGAATTGAGCTCATGTGTGATGAATTTTAGCCCTCTTCCCAGTATTTAGATTTTCTAGTAACTCAGCCTTTAACCTAAGATTTCCCCTTAGGCTTCCACACTGGATTTTCCATACACAAGAGTTCCCATTTTAGCTTTCTCTCCGATTCATAAAGAGCCCCGGACTCATTTTTTTGGTTCAGTGTTGTTATATAAAAATTTCTTAAGAGCCTGAAATAAGTAGGTTACCCCTATGCATTAGCTCTACACATATTAAACACGGTGGAGGAGGGAGAATGCAAGGGAGAAAAACCTCCCAACTTAATATTTTAAAAACAACAGCTCGTGTTACGAAACAGTAACACAACTTTTCTTCAAGGATTTTCCTGTAATTGTTGGTACAACCCGGAATGGAAGTGAAGAGCAAACTGCATCTTCATCCCAGATAACGGTGACTTGTTTTACACAGAGGTTGTTGGACTTGGTCCTCTGACACCATCACTGTCTAGCTAAAATAGCCTGGGCCAAGATTTTAGATAGCAAGCTGGAGAATCAAAATGCTGCACAAAGACCATGACAATGCATTGGCCAAAGAAAGCTTTAGTTAACATCTTTTAATGGTATGCAACTAGTTGCAACTATTTCTTGATGACATATTCAGTACTTACTGAAAAGAGTCCAAGAAAAATGAAAATACTTACTCGTGTGGTCTTGATAGAGTTCAATAAAATGCAAGCAGCGTATCGCTTTGTTCTTTGCCTAAGGAAGAAAGGCACAAAACATTTGTTTTCCTCTAAATTTTCTGCAAAGTATCTGGAATTTACTTTTTTTTAGTCAACTAGACAGAAAAAAAAAGCCAAAACCAAGTTAAGGAACCTCAAGAAAAAAGGGTTAGCCACATCTAGTTCTCTTAGTTTATGAACATCAAAATTGCAAAGAACTTATTTCTCCTTACAGAGTCAACATTTTAAAAGACTTCTTTTAAAAAGTCTTTTTTATTCAGCAACCACGATATGAATCCAATGTATTTCACCATTGCTACTGAGCATCTCAAAGTAGATTAATGTATAAGTCATATTTTGACATCTAAAGCAGCCTTAATAAATAGACATTTTAATAGTCTTAATTAATTAGCCTTAATTAACATTCATTACATGTATATAAGAGAAAAATTCCTACACAATTGCTGTATAAACAGAATTCACATGCTACACAGATATGAACAATAAATAAGCAAAGGGGGACAAGCATAGCCTATAGAAAAGGAGGAAGAAATCTTTTTAAAAAAACGTAATATAATTTTTTCTTGTTCTTGCTTCCAAAACATCACAACCTGAAATCAAAATAACTGGGAAAAAAATACAAAAATCATCTGTCCCCTTTGTGTGTACACATTATATCAGAAAATAAGTGAAAAAATGAAGCATTAACAGAATCTCCTTGAGTAGCAACCTCATTATATGTACCAAGATGGAAAAATCATGCACATGGATATATTTCTACATACAGACCATAAAAAAAAGATATTGGCTATTTTCAAAAAAGCACAGCTAAGAAATGTTTGTGCTGATTTTTAATCAACATACTTTCCGCAATGCGTTCATCCTGTCACCTGCTTTTCCCACTGCAAACCCTGAAAGACAGAAAAGAGTCATTTTATTAGTGAGAAATGCATGCATCAGGCAGGACCTTGAGAAAGGCGATAGAAGGAAAAAATCACAATTAAGTTTGGTCCCTGTTATTTCTACTCCATTGCCCAGATTATACTCAGAAAATGGCTCAGAGAAAAATACATTTAATAGAAAGTAACGACTCATCCATTACAAATCCCTATCAACTGGATGCTCATCAGTAGTATGGAAAAAAAAAAGATGAATAAGGTTTAAATTAAGACTTTTTTGGGGTGGTTGTTCTAAATAATCGAGTAACGGTGATTATTTCATCCAGAAAAAGCAATCTTCTGCAGAAGGAAGGGGAAGGAAGGGAAAGGAGGAGGGCGACGCTGCGTCTGCACAAGCAGCAGCTCCAAGGCCCAAGAGGCAAAGACGGCTGCGCTTGTGCTCACAAAATACAGACTCTGAAAACAGCATTTTTGAATTGGCAAAAAATACATGCCTGAAAACCAGAAGAAAAATCAGACACTGCAATTACAGGCTGGTACTTGAACCTCTCTGACCTGCTCTACTCATCAGGTGAGCTGTGGCAGTGACGAAGAGAGAGCAAAGTATCCTCAAAGGGTGTGCGGGGTCTGCAGGCATCGACTGACCTTGCTGAGTGAACAGGAGGCTGTTCCACCACCTGCATCGACTGTAGCCCACGGTCAGGACGGACTGACTCCGAATTGCCTGACTTCAAACAGGTGGATTTTGCTTTTGGGGGATTTTTGGTCTTTGTGACCCCTTTCTACCTCCTGACCCCTGCACGAGGGAACGCGGGAAGGCTGCACACACACACAGAGCACATTAACACAGGGTTAACGATCAAAAATGAGGCCACCTGGGCAGCCTCAACTCAACCATTCCAAGGGCATGCGTTAAAGCGAGTCTTCAGGAATATGCTGGCATACATTTCATGGAAAAAAAGCCTTTCAGAGGAGGGGAAGACAGCCTTTTTTCAGAGCTATTTTCTTCTGCAAGAGAACCACACCTTCCTCTATCTATTCCCTCCAAACTGCGGCTACAACTGAGCTTCAGGCAAACATCTGGGCTTGCATCTTCCAAATGGATGACGCTCTGCAAATCTGCGAGCAACTGCAAATGCGTGTGGCTTATTCAAGCTTCCATATGCATCCCGAAAGCAGGGGTAGCTGCTCAGCTCATAATGCAAGGGGACTGTTTACATCCAAGAAGTGAATGCTCTCGGAAGGCATACGCACCCAAAATAGACTTTTTCTCCGCTTCAGTCACGTAACAATGCAAATTTCCTGTCCTCTGCCATCAAGATAATGCATCCTATATTCCCCCATCCCGACAGATGCATATGACTGACCTGTTTGCCTCAGAACTATGCACTTTCTGGCTTTTTTTTTTTCTCCCAGCTGAATCTCATTTTAATTCTGCATAGCTTTCTTATTTCCAAGTCTGTTTGAGGTCTAACAGGAATTTTAATGTACATTGGTTTACATCCTCAGGAGAACATCCAGAAAACTATCTCATTTGCAGGAGAAATTTAGTGCTTCATATTCAAGGGTGCTTCTTAAATAAAATTTATCCCGCAAAAATAAAACAGGCTTTAGCTCATGGTACTTGAAAATCGAGTGAAAGATTAACACCATTTCCTAAACAACAGAACCAGAAGCATGTAAGTGCAGTACAGGGTGAGTGTGCAGCTCCTTTACAAATCTTTTTATACTTGAGAGCTATTAGTACTGTCTTCAATAAATTTGTCCTCACATCTTAGCCCACTGGCTCAGAATCTGAGCCAAACCTGAGCCAACTAAAAGCAAAACATGTCCTGTCAAATAAAGGATGCCTAATAATTTTTGTAATTGACAGAGCGAAACGCAGGACCTCAAATGCACTCAACTGAGGGAGGAAAATTCATAAAAAAACCAATAATGGGACTGCTCCTTCTCTACATGAGAGACCCCACTAACAGGGATAACTGAATTAGTCAAGAGGGTGCGGAATTTTTCCTCAGCTCTTTACGGTGCAGGCAGCCCCTTAAGAAGCTGCAGGGCAGTGATTTTTTGGTCTCTTCATTAAGGAGCAAATCTGACCAGCTCAAAGGCTCTTCTGGCCAAGAGCCCTATGCACTTCCCTTGAAGAAAGAACCGTGCCTACTTATTGCAGCACTTTGCAAATGCCTTGGGAGGGAAGGCCATACAATATGCCTGGTCGTGTGCTCTGGCTTTGCAGTGTGTGAGCTTACAAACACGTGAAGATATTAGCTGGGAGCCCCTCTGCAAGACCAGGTCATGCAATGCTGCTGCGCTGAGCGCGCTTGGTGCTTCTACACGTCACTTGTCCAGAACTGCTCAGCAGCAGAGCCGTGCTTAGAGCTCCCTTCCATGGAAAAAACAAAAAACAAACCAACAAAACACTCCTCTCAATCCCTCTGGGAAGTATTCTCCAGTCTTTGCTGAGAAAGACAAAAAAAAGGAAAGTCTCTATTTACTGTTTCTGTATTACACCCTCCATAATCTCATATTTCTTTCAGCTTGTCTCATTTATTTCATGCAGGACAGTGTTTCTATGGTTAGACTTCAAATCAGTGGCTGAAGAGATCTTTATAAATAGAAAACCTACAAATGGGTCAGGATGTGGATCACTCAAGTTACTATGGACTCAAAAGGCCATGAGACGAATTCTACTTTTCACTAGAAATCTCAATAAAATACTTACAGCCAATCTAGAAAGTGGATTTCTTATGACTGAACTTCTGTAAAATAAGGAAGCTTCTTGAAAAGACTCAGTGTAAAACTAAATATTAGGGTCTTCTCATTTTACAGATTTACTACAAATTGATACATAATAATATCTACATAATCCCTTCTGCTAAGACCTGCCACTGGCTGGTTGTAGCACTCTAGAATAAAAATTGTTTTTAATCAGAGCATAGGATATGCCCCAACCCTAATGACACATTATTACTTTTTCCATCATGTTTTATATGAAATAAAGTGTCCTGGTGAATAGGTACATAATTTGATTATAAAGCATACATTTATAGATGACTCCCAATTCTTACAGCTATTTTAATATTGCCTAGTGGAAAAAAGAGTGAATTTTCTTTTGTAAAAAGAGAATGTACAAAATATTTCTTTCAATCACCATGTCCTCTAAAGCCTTACCCCAAATAATGATTAATGTGGTACTTTTCACACACATTAACTGCACATACCTGCAGCCCCTTTTCCATTTCCAATAGCAACGACAGCACGAATTGATTTTTTTCGGCCTTCCTTTGCCTTCATACAAAATACATTTTTCACCTGCACAAAGAAATACAAAGCAGCTTGTGATGACACAGTCCAACTGTATTTTTTTCAAGAGTTAGTTTATTAACAAGGCATTAGAGGTTTGTGATGAGCCTTGCAATGCATCCTGCCTTTGTGAATGAGTATCATCTGCAGCGGGACACTGGCTTCGAGGCATTAAATATTTAAATGCTGCAAAGAATCTAAACTCAGATATGCACAAAGTTATTTCAGTGCAGTTTCTCTAACATATTCCCCTCCGTTGTGTTTATTTGCATGACAGATATCCTCTAACACCATTAGCTTCAAGTGTGATTTTAATCGCGATGGAAATCCAGACAGTAAGAAAATCAAATAAATGAAAAGTGACGTTAACGTTTCTCCCCCACCCCCTTCCATTTTAACGTATTTTAGAAGCACTCTCAGGAATTGCTCAAGGCTGTACATGGGTTAAGGCCTGGGATTCAAATCTGCTTGCAGACAGCAGAAGGCATTGATTTGTAGCTCTACTCATTACTGAGATGGCAGCTGCTAGAAAGATGACTTCATTTAAGAAAGAGGAGAAAGAAAAATGGTTTCTGGTTCCTGGAACCAGAAATGTTAACAGAAGCTCTGCAATAATTTCAAACAGAGAAAATCACTTAGGATGAAGTGAGGGGATGCAACAAAAAACAGGGAGCCAGGGGGCCGTAGGTCTGTATTCTGTAAAGCAAGGTTTGCTTCTGGCTCTCTCGAGTCTTTTCATCCCATGCTTTATAGTCTTCCCACTTTAAACGGGCTAATATATTATAGTCTTCCCACTTTAAATGGGCTAATACATCACTTGAAATCCTCTGTCTGTCTAGCTGTTGCTCTGGTTTCCTTGGCTTTGTCTACATACACACACATATACACACACACACACTAACACACACACACACAGATGTGCATATATATTTTCTGTAACACAATGGCTGTTACTGCATCAAGGTCTACCTTCTTGAAGCACCGGGACAATTTCTGTAAATTACCACCATAACAGTTAAATGAAACCTGGATTAAGTATTGTTTGCCCTTTTTCGACATATATAGTTCTTCAGTAAGCTAGCTTGGTTTTAACATATATTTTTAGATAGATTACCACAAAATATATGGTCATGGCTTAATCATTCTTGTTGACATTCACAATAACAGTCCACTGACTTCCCTGGATGCAGGTTAGGAATGACGACTTCCAAAATATATACATATATATATTAATGAATATATATATTCATTAAAATAAAGATGCTCTTAAACTCAAGGTACACACATGTTCCAGAGGGTGCTTCAAAGAAATGCCAGCGCCACTGTATGCTTATTCGAAGCTACTTTTCTTCCCGTGACCTTACAGCTTGCATTTAAGAGCTAAAAAGCAAGGCCACCCGAAAATTCAAGCACGTGGGAGAACAGTTGCTTACAGAACGCATGCAGTAATGGGGCAATATAGAAAAGGGATCGATCCAGAGCGATGGTCTCTCCGGACACATCAGGAACACCCTGTTTTTGCTCTGTGAATGTGAGTGCCTCCAAGCACCAAAGCGAAAAGGTGCTCGTACAAACCCGAGACTCCCTGGGGGACTCTCCTTAAAGCTCCTTCTTCTCCCTCTCCAGAAGGTGGCAATAAGGACCTGTGCAATGGGCTGCTGCAGGGGCTGCCTTTGGATCCCGCAGGAAAGCGGGCTCTGGCTCCGGCCCCGCGTGCTCGTCGCATTCCGGAGGGGCCTCCCGAGCTCATCCCGGTACAACCGCTGGGCTCCATCATCCCCCTCCCTGCCGCGGCACTTCCCTTCCTGCCCAGAATTCAAACACACCATTACGCTGCGAGGGAATTAATGAATCCACAATTAGTAGCTCGTCACTTTCCCAACAGTGCAACCTCCAAAGAGAGACTGCGATTAAGGCAGAATAACCCTTATTTACTAGATCTTAATCAAGACAGATTTAAAGCCTGTACATTTTCTTTTTTAATTCCAAAACAGACGCGTGTTCAACCCTCCTCACAGCGCGCCTCAGACTGTCCCCCGCAGCCACCCTGCCACACGGACAACGTCACCGCGGCGGGACGGGTGACAGGACCTCCCCCAGCTGCACCCCAGACCCCCAGGCGGCGGCAGGGCACAAGGGGGTGGCAGCAACACCAAGTGGCACATATAGGTTCCCACCTACGTATGTATCAGGCAAGGGTGGCACTGCAGGAGAAGGCAAATCAATCTCTCTAAGACCGCTAAGATGTGACCTTCTCAAGGCGCAGTGAGTTTATCCGTGGGTGAATTGGTCAGTCCGTGCTGCTGAACACCCGTACCCTCTCCCACAGCTCTCCATTGGAGTAAATGAAGCATTTCTCTCTCAGGGAATTTGATTGAGCAGCTGCAGCCTCTCAGCATGGGACACTAGGAGCTAACGATCCTGCACGTGACGGAGATCCAGCCCCGGCGCGCGAAGCACCGACAGATGCAGCAATACCCCAATAACCTGCACTCACCTGCCCCTCGCACAGGAACGCAGGGAAAGGACCACCTCCAAACTCAGCTCCACTCCATCCAGGTGCCAATATCCGAGCCCAAATATTTTTATCATCTCTTACAGACACAGTCAGCACGACCCAGGGAAGAGAAAACGTCCCAATAGCTCTGAAAGCCAAGCCTATAGCCACAATATCCCACAAATACATTTTAGCCAACATCTCATTTGAAGCAAATTATTGCTCAGAGAATACCACATACACCATGTAATTTTTCAGTCAAGTATGTCAAACAAGAGATCTCAGACACTGTAATTTCATGCAGCATTTCTCTTTCACAAACCTTTTTTTTTTTAGAAGCCATTTCCAGAAACAATGGCTGGAAAACAATTTCCAAAGCCTTACAAAAAGAAATTTAGGTTTGGGATTCTGTGCATTAAGGAACTGTATTTTTGCCACAGAAAAATATTACTGTGGTTTTAAAACACAGTTATCTGTGATGAGTTTACCAAGATTAATTCTGTGCTTTTAAAACAAACACATAGTAATGGGTTTCTTGCTACTACATGGAAAATTGAAACTATAGCCCTATATTCTATTATATTAACCATCTCCTGTTGCATCTGGACAATTTATTCTTGTTTAGTGGATGCAGAACAAATGACTACAGTGGTGCAATTACCTCCTTTCTGTGTTCCTTCTCCCTGCAGATAGTTACATGTACTTTTGAAAAAATACATATAGTAAGTTGCTGACTTAGAGACACTTAAGGTCCTTTGCATCATTTTGGCACAATAAACCCTAGGTCTTTCGATTTTACTCCCTCACGCCACCATAAAAGTAGTGCTTCTTAGGCAAGAGCTTTCTGCACAGCTTGATGAAGAAAGTCCCACACAGAATCCCAGGATGGTTGAGGTTGGAAGGGACCTCTGGAGATCATCTGGTCCCTGTCACATAGCATTTGGTGTCCCCAGCCCTGAACGGTGCCAGGACAGAGATTCCCTGGTTTTTGCTAAGGGCTTCATTCAGAACGAGCAAACGAGCACAGGCAACACCAACTGCAAGAGCACAAACCTTCAAATGGGTGTCTGGAGGGAAAAAAAAGGGAAAAACAAACAAATGACCAGACTCACATGGGCAGAAGCCGCCAACTTTAAGAAATTACACAAACTCTTGGCACATGGGGACCCAGATATGAACTGCCAATACTGCAGTACTGTAAGGTATATCTGATCTCAATGCAATTCAAGTGAGCTACTGTCTGGAAGGCATTTTCCTGGAGACGACATTCAAGGATTCAGACTGATTCAAGATTCAGATGAGAGCCCACGATGGGGCTTCATTTGCTGCACAGTATCTTGACTATCAGACAAAATTAGCCCTTCTTGAAGGCTCTCATCGCTATCTTGACGAAAAATACCAGCCTCCCACTTCTCAGAATACCCACTCACACTAGTACCTGGAAATAGGCTGTTTACATTGATTTATTCTGTCTAGGGAAGACCCAGATAACTAATTTTAGTATGTGAGTATTAAAAAGATCTTTTGTCCTCACTTCTTCCCTCCCTTCCCACACTCCTAGAAAGTTAAAAAAGAAAAAAATCCAGGAAAAAAATGACAGGCAGCTCTACCTTCAACATAATAAAGAATGTGAGAGATAGTCCTGGACCAAAATAGCAACAGAAAGTGCTGTTGACACCAAAGGACCAGGGCACAGATAATACCAACAGTAAATGCTACTGTTGGTTTTATTCTCACAGAGTTGATACCCATAAATGACAACCAAGCAAAACAGCTTTACTTTGTAAGGAAATACCTACACATATTATTTCTTTCTCTTAACAAGTAAGCACAGCCTTTTGGCAGCATAATCTTACCAGAAAAGGGGCTTTTGCATTTTCGTTCATAAAACATAAAGATGGTAGCTTTTATATCCAGAGAACTGCTGGAAATCAAGACAAAAATCAGAAAAAAGAAACATCAGCTTTTCCTTTTCTGCAATTGTAATTTCCCAGCAATTGTTTTAACCTCTTGTGCTGCTGTGAATACAAGGGCAGTGGAAAACGCATACAGAAATAGCATTATCTATGCTATCTATTTAAAGTAAAAATACTAATAAGATCTGTTTATTTCAAATTCCCCACTTGTTTTCAGAAAATTATGGGATTCAATTATCTCGGGCTCATTGCTGACTTTGGACATAGAAATCGTTGCTGCTGCTAACATTTTTCTGCAAAAAAAAGCAACATTCCTACCTTCCCCATTCATATCTGTGGCAACCTTATAAAACAATATAGCCCCAGCCAGCTCCGAAAAAGCTTTTTTAGTATTCAAATATAAACCAAGCAATGAAACAGATTTACATAGTGCAGGGAAGCATTGTATAGCAACCTATTTTGCATTTAATCTAATGAATTTGACGGTAAATAATTAGGCAGGCCCAGAATGGCCATCCTTAGTGAACATCTACCAGTCTGAGGTCCCGAGAAAGCAGCTGTGGTTTTACAGGGGGAAACCCCTTTCGTTATTATAC